ACATCCATTACAGTCTTTAGGTGGTATACTGCTGTTTCCAGTGCAATTATTTCAGCTTCATAATTAGAACAGAATTCCCCGAATGCATCAAAAATCTCTTCAACAGATCCATCGAGATAACCTATGTAGATTCCGTAACCTGCTTTAATGGTAGCTTTAAATGCTGATCCATCAGTATAGACATGTATCCATTCTTGGGGGTAAGAATCAACGGTCTTTAGTGATCAGTTCATAAGAGCGATTGGGACGGACTGTTTGGTTTCCTCGCCTACCAATTTAATTCTGACTTCTGGAGCTTTAAAGCGAGCATGTGGTGTTAGGTTTCTTGCAACATTCTGAATTCCTTGACGTCTTTCTGGGAGGTGGTATCTGTCCTGAATTTCATGAACACAGTGTTAAACCGATTTGTGCTTTATTCTTTGTTTGTATTCCCAGTTTTCTACAAGATGTCTATTAGGATGGTTACGATTTATCCTAACGCATCTTTCATAAATTTCTAAAGTGGCTTTTTCTCTCCGCAACCCGAGGGGTTCCACATTTGTATGGATTCCACATGCAGCAGTTGGTGTAGACTGCATAGCTCCGCAGATTAATCGGAGGGCATTATTTTGTACTCTGTCAAGAGTCTCTAGGTTAGTTTTGTAGCAAGTTGTAAGCAGTGAGTTGTTGTACTCTATCACACAGAGAACATATCCTAGATATAAGCCCCTCAGAGTTTTCTTGTCTGATCCCCATGATGTACCTGCAAGTCTCTTTAATAACTGTAACCGCCTCAATGCCTTATTCCTGACGTTTTCAATATGGTTCTTGAGGCTGAGCTGCCGGTCAAGTGTGACTCCAAGGTATGTGGGATGCTCTTCTTTCATCATTTGGTGTTTGTCTAACCTCAGGTTAATATTCTTCCTTGCTACTTGGTGGCTTTTGGGAAAGATTGTGTAGACCGTCTTTGCACAGTTAACCTTGAGTTTCCATCGTTGGCATTACTCATGCAGTCTTCTTAGGTCTCCATTCAGTCTTTGGGCTCCACTTCCCACATTTTCATGACTCTGCCATATTGCTAGGTCATCAGCGTACAAGGCTTTTTCGGCCTTGATTTGTTCTGGCAGGTCATTGATAAAGATTAGGAACAGCATACAGCTCAATAATGAGCCTTGTGGCAAGCCCTCCTCCAAGACTTCTTTAGAAGAGTTTGCGTTGTGCATCTTAGTCTGGATTGTCCTATCTATCAGGAAGTATTTCACCCAGTTATACAATCTGCCATGTATTCCTATGCTCATCATCTTCATCAGGAGACCTTTTCTCCATACTCTGTCATAGGCCTGCTGGAGGTCGACAAAGACTGCCACTGTGTGTTTCTTATTCTGGAAGCCATCATGTATTCTTTGTGTCAGTCTGAACAGCTGGTCTTCTGTACAGTTGTTGGTTCTGAAGCCTGCCTGTTCATGGCATAGAACACCAGAACTCTCTAGGAACCAATGTAAGCGCCTGTTTATAATTCTTTCTGCAACTTTGCCCACGCATGATGTTAAGGATATCGGGCGGTAGCTTTTGGGGTCATCTGGAGGCTTTTTGGTTTTAATAATGTGGACGATATATGCATTCCTCCATGCCTTTGGAAGTTTGCTTGACCTCCAAGTTTTATTAATAAGCCTGAGAACTACTTCTCTCCCAGACCGGTCAAGATGTAGCAGCATTTCGTTGTGGATCTTATCTGGGCCTGGGGATTTTCTAGGTTTTAATTTCTTCAGGGCTTGCTCTAATTCATCCATGCTAAATTCATTTTCAAAAAGGGAGTCGCTGACTGTTGGAGCTCTCTCTTGTTTCTTCAACTGAGAGAGCTGTGTTCTATTGAGTTCTGACAGCTTACCTGCTCTGTTAACTGAGGCAAAATAATGATTGAAATGTTCTGCTTTCTTCTTGTCTTCAGTAATTGTCCTCCCATCTGTCACTGGTTTTGGGTTCACCCTTCTACTTTCTCCGGAGAGGTTTTTAACTAAAGTCCATGCTTTATTTCCATTCTGTCTAAGGTCTAAGTTGGAGCAAGTTTCTGTCCATTTATCTCTTTTAGCCTTATTAACTACAAGCTTTACTCTGGCTCATGCTTTACTGTATTGGATCTTTGCTTCTGTTGAACGTGCAGTTTCGAGCAATATTCTTGCTTTATTCCTTTTAGATATAGTATTTTGAATTTCTTTATTACAAAAAGGTTTATATGTCTTCCGGCTGCCCCTTGGGATGGCTTTCGACGCTGCATTCAGGATTGCTTCTGTTATATCTTCACAAAAAGTTTCCACAAAGCTGTTGTCAATTCTTCCCAGGAGGCAGTCAGATGTTTCCTGAAAGAGTTTCCAGTTTGCTTTTGGGAAATTCCAACGGGTTCTCTGCTTGAAGCGTAATTTAGCGGTGGTGCTTACAGTTGTGAGTATAGGTTTGTCGTCACTTCCTATCTCATCCAGGACTTGTGAATAGCTTGTGTCTGCTAAGTCGGATGAGCAGATGGTCAGGTCTGGTCGGCTGAGAGATAGGTGGGCCCTGTGTAACAGTGTAGGTGTAGACTCTGTGTCAAAGTGAGTGCTATGGTGTGAAGATGCAACATTCAGCAGCACGAGTCGTGTCATTTGTAAAGTTGACTGAATGACTAACTGTGGTAGCATGCAGTTCTAGACGGCAGACGGGAGACCGGACGACAGATGTTCGTTGACTACACTTTTTGAAACTGTGCCAGGGAGTCCTGCTTGTGACGTCTGAGAGTTGTATGCATCTGCGAGCCAAAGTGAACGAGTATTGAGCACCACTTGGAATAGACAGCGAACAGCAACAGAATGAGGTCAAGTGACTCAGTACAACGGATGTGGAAAGGGCTAAATAACACCGCTCTAGACTACAACACGAATATCGACATATATGGTCGAGTTAGTGCGCAATCACCACCCTAGACACGCATGCATACACTACCGCCTCCTCACGTCTGTCTCTCACACAATCACCACCCTAGACACGCATGCATACACTACCGCCTCCTCACGTCTATCTCTCACACAGAAGCACCCTAGACACGCATGCATACACTACCGCCTCCTCACGTCTATCTCTCACACAATCACCACCCTAGACACGCATGCATACACTACCGCCTCCTCACGTCTATCTCTCACACAATACCACCCTAGACACGCATGCATACACTACCGCCTCCTCACGTCTGTCTCTCAATACCACCCTAGACACGCATGCATACACTACCGCCTCCTCACGTCTGTCTCTCAATACCACCATAGACACGCATGCATTCACTACCGCCTCCTCACGTCTATCTCTCACACAGAACCACCCTAGACACGCATGCATACACCACCGCCTCCTCACGTCTGTCTCTCACACAGAACCACCCTAGACACGCATGCATACACTACCGCCTCCTCACGTCTATCTCTCACACAGAACATATTAAACTAAACAATCCCCGTGTGGGTTATGGGGGTCCCATTGTCAGGAAATCAAGAACAGACCCACTGCCCCCCCCCTCCCCCAACAAGCATGTCGCAGGAGTCGTCTAACTGGGGACTTTTCTAGAAGTCGGAGTTCATCTGACCAAGTGGCAACAGGCAACGGATTTACACGCAAAACTTAGACCCTGGTACAAAGCCAAAGTCCAAATGGACGAACAACTCACAGACGGTGAACAAAAAAAAAAAAAAAACAAAAAAAAAGGAAGAAACCAAACAAAAAAGTAGAACCAATCAGCTTTACAATATCACAAACGACAAGTGAACGTTGCGGCCAGAGAACTTCATTAGGGCATCATATAAATCTACACGACTACAAGTACACACAAGAAAACTGGCGTTTTCTCGACACACTGTAGAGGCTGGGCTGACGGACATTGACGAACACCATTACCTAGCAAGGGAGTAAAGCCTGCCCAAGCGGTCTGTGCCTTCTTCGAGGTCACAATGAGAGACTTTATAACCAATGTCCTACCAGAGCATTTAGTGGGGGTAGTTTGAGGAGACTAATGCCTCAGAAGAGTGAGCACGCATGAGACTGGCAAATGTGCACTGATGTCGATTGGATAACATAACATCATGCATGTCCTATTTCAGCATACTTGCTCAGTTTTACTGTGAAGATCAACAACGCTACCTCATGCAGTGAGGAGAAGCGGTTCATCCAGGGCAGGCATGAAGTGGACGTCGTATGTTGTCAGCCAATCCTGGTGACCCAACTCATTATAGAAGGAGATATCGCCCCAACCGTCTGCTCCATTTACATCAGTGGAGGTGAGGTTTTGTTCAAGGAGCGTTGAGGTTTGTCAATGTACAAGGAAGATTACCAGAACTTTGATACAGTCGCTTGTAAACTGAGTTAGGAGTTGTACTCAGCAACCAGGACAAGTGTCCAGCTAGGATTGCACCAATAGTTTTTGATAATTAAACATCCGTCCTGCCTTTCCTCTGAGTTTATTGTGGTAGCCACATCCACTGGTCACTTCTCCCTTAACCATTCTCTACACGCGATAACAAAATATTCGGGCTTCCACAGTGTTGACTAATTTCCAAAGGGCCTTAGCCACATTTAGCCTGCATAGGGTCAATTCAAAACCCACTAGCGCAGAGCCGGGCTCCCCCCCCCCCCCCCCACCATCTCCTTTTCCTCCAAAACTATGATAGGTATGTGTTTAATCCGTGAGAAGGCTGATAAAGCCAATCCTGAGTCTGGATATTGACTTCATCAGTTGGGAAGTTCACTTTTCCGCCAATCCTGAGTCTAGACATTGACCTCATTAGTTGGGAAGTTCACTTTCCCGCCAACCCTGAGTCTGGATTTTGATCTCATCAGTTGGGAAGTTCACTTTCCCGCCAATCCTGAGTCTGGATTTTGATCTCATTAGTTGGGAAGTTCACTTTCCCGCCAATCCTGAGTCTAGATATTGACCTCATCAGTCGGGAAGTTCACTTTCCCACATTTTCTGTTTGTTAAACTGCTGCTAAAAGTCTTCA